TCAAAGAGCTGAAATAAACCATGGGCAAAGGAGTAAAGGAAATCAGAAGAATGATATATGAGCAGGTAGGGATATGAATAAAGGGATAGAAATTATGAAAAGAAGCCAAGTGGAAATTCTGTAATTGAAAAGCAAAATACAGTAAAATCTTGGATTGCAAGTAACTTGGTTTGTGAGTGTTCTGCAAGACAAGCAAACATTTCTAATACATTTTTAACGTGGTAAACAAGCGATGTCTTACAATACAAGTAGTTTGTTTTCAGAACGAATTACGCTCGCAAACCAAGGTATTACTGTAGTTGAAATGAAAAATTCACTAGAAGAGTTCGACAGCAGATATAAGCAGGCAGATAAAAGATTCAGCAAACTTGAGTATAGGACAATTGAAAATACCCAGTCTGAGGCGCAGAAAGAGAAAAAACAAAAGAAGGGAAACGAGTTGAGCCTAAGGGACCTACTGGCCACTGCCAAGCACACTAACATTACAGGAACAAGAAACTAAAAAAGATACAGAAAAGTAAAAGCTAATCAAAATGGTACACTGGAAAAAAATCAAACACAAAAGAAAACAGCATTGGAGGAATTGAGAAACAAAGTGATATATGACATATAGAAAACAAATAGCAAAGTGCAGAAGTATGTCCTTCATTATCAGTAGTACTTTAAATGTAAGTGCATTAGACCCACCAATTAAATATTAGAGATTAGTAGAATGGATTTTAAAATGTCATCTGACTATATGCTGCTTACAAAGAGACTAACTTGAGACTCCAAGAAATAGGTTGAAAATGAGAGGCTAGAAAAATATATTCCATGCAAACAGTAGGCAAAAGAGAGCTGAAGTGACTATATTAATATCAGACAAGATAAATGTTAAGTCAAAATTATTACAAAATATAAGAAAGGATATTATATATTGATAACAAGGTCAATTCCCCAAACTTATTAAAATATATGCACCAAACAACAGATCCCCAAAATATATGAAAAAAATTATTGACAGAATTTAAGGGAGAAACAGAGAGTAATAAACAGTAATAGAGTAGTTAGAGGCTTCAATACCCCACTTTTAATAATGGATAGAACATTGAGACAGAAGATCAAGAAAGAAATAAACTTGAGCAACACTATAAACCAACTAGACCTATCAGACGTATGCAGGACAATCCATTCAACAACATCAGAATACTCAACCTTCTCAAGTGTACATGGAATATTCTCCAGGATAGACTATACATTAGGCAATAAGATAATTCTTAATAAATGTAAAAGGGTTGACGTTATACAAAAGTACCTTCTTTGACCACAGTGAAATGAAGTTAGAAATCAATAACAAAAGGAAAACTAAAAAAATTGAAAATAAATGGAAATAAACAGCACATTCTTAAAGAATCAATGGATCAAAGAAGAAATCATAAGGGAAATGAGAAAATACACATACGCGCGCGCACGCACACACACACACACACACACAGCATAACATATCCAAACTTAGGGGATGCAGTAAAGGCAGTGTCAGAAGGAAATTTATAGCTGAAAACATTTATGTTAAAAAAGAAGAAATATGTCAAATCAACAATCTAACTTTACACCTTGAAGAACTAGAAAAAGAATAACTGATGCCAGTAGAAGGAGGAAATGCTAAAGACTAAAGCAGAAATAAACAAAGTAGAGAATAGGAAAACAGTAGAGAGAATCAATCAAACCAAAAGTTGGTTTTTGGAAATGACCAACATAGTTGACAAATCTTTAGCTATGTTGATTTAAAAAGAGAGCGAGAAAAGACAAAAATAACTAAAAACAGGAGTGAAAGTGGGGACATTACTACCAACCTTACGGAAATTAAAAGGATTATGAGAATACTAAGAACAATTAGATGCCAACAAATTAGATTATGTAGATGAGATGGACAAATTCCTAGAAACACACAAATTACTGATTCAAGAAAAAAACTGATTCTAGAAAACCCCAGAGACCCATAGAAAGTAAAGAGATTACATGAGTAATAAAAAGAACCTCCCCAACTAAGCCTAGGATCAGATGACTTCACCAAACATTTCAAGAGCAGTTAACACTAATCCCACTCAAACTCATCCAAAAAATAGAAGAGGAGGGAACACTTCCCAATACATTACCCTAATACCAAAGTCAGGAAAAGATACTATAAGGAAAGAAAACTATAGACCAACATCTCTTATGAATATAGATATAAAACTCAACAAAATACTAGCAAACTGAGTCCAACAGCACATTAAAAAGAGTATATACATGGTGACCAAGTGGGATTTGTCCCACGGATGTAAGGGTGGTTCAACATTAAGAAAAAAATCATCTACTGTAATACACCATATTAATAGAATGAAGGGGAAATGCAACAGGATCGTCTCAATAGGTGCAGAAAAAATATTTGACAAAATTCAACATGATAAAAACATTTAACAAACTAGAAATAGAGGAAAACTTCCTCAACATGATAAAGGGCATTTCTGAAAAACCCACAGCTAACCTCATACAATGGTGAAAGTGGACAGCTTTCCCCCTAAATATGGAACAAGACAAGGATGCCTGCCGTCTCCACTGTTATTCGACCTTATACTGTAAGTCCTACCCAGAGCAATTAGGCAAGAAAAAGAAAAACAAGATATCTAAATTGGAAAAGAAATGAAACTATGTCTGTTTGAAGATATGATTATATATAAAATTTCAAACAACCCTCAAAAAACTGCTAGAGCTAATAAATGAATTCAGTCAAGTTTCAGAGTACAAGCCAAACACACAAAAATCAGTTTGTGTTGGTATACATCAGTGTTTTAAAATGTGGATTTTATTGTTATTCAGGTATACTGAGGACAATATATCAGAAGGTGATTGCCATTGAAAAGATAGTTTGTTACTGACAGTTCTCAGGGGGAGGGGTCGTGCTCCATCATGGGGGCCATACTTAATGGGGCTGTCACATGGGGAATTACTATGATCAGACAGGAGGTAAAGGAAGAAAGGGGAAAATGTGGGCAAGAGCATTTATTTTAGTTTCTGTGGGAAGAAAGGGGCAAGTCAGGATAAGCAGGGTTAGGATTGGCTAATTTAAATGACTTCAGTGGGTTCTAGAGCATATTGGGGTTGTCCCTAATTGTCTGGTACCTGGGCTTCAGTTGATTAGGGCAGGAGAACAGTGGCCCTGAGTGTGATGGAAACTGTGGTGTGGATTTTGGATTGACTAGTTTGCATATGAAAGGCATGCTTACAGGCAAGTCCTTTGCTCCCTGGGAACTGGCTAGCACTGGGAGAGGCACTCTCCAGGGTCAGCAAAACCCCAGATGTGAAATTATCTGAACTCCAGAAAATAAAAAGCATGATTAATACACCTAACAATGAGCAATCAAAAAGGAAATACAGGCATATTTTGGGGATATTGCAGGTTTGGTTCCAGACCACTACAATAAAGCAAATATCACAATAAAGTAAGTCATGAATTTTTTTTTATTTCCCAGTGCATATAAAAGTTATGTTTACATTATATTGTAGTCTTTTAAGTGTGCCATAGCATATGTTTAAAAATCAAATGTACACACCTTAATTAAAAAATACTTTAATTAATACATTAATTGCCATCTCGGTCTTCAGCGTGTTATAATCATTTTGCTGATGGAGTCTTGCCTGAATGTTGCCTTTCTATTTTGATGGCTGCTGACTGATCAGGGTGGTGGTTGCTGAAGGATGGGTGGCTATGGCAATTTCTTAAACTAAAACAGCAATGAAATTTGCTACATGATTGACTCTTCCTTTCATGAGGATTTCTGTGTAGCAAGAGATGCTGTTTGATAACATTTGACCCACAGTAGAACGTCTTTCGAAGCTGGAGTCAATTACCACTGCTTTATCAACTGAGTTTGTGCAATACTCTAAATCTTTTGTTGTCATTTCAATAATCTTCACAACATCTTCAGCTGGAGTAGGTGTGTGACCTTTCCTTTCATTTGAACGCTTAGAGGCCAGTGCAGGATTATTAATGGGCCTAATTTCAATATTGTTGTGACTCAGGAACTAGGAAAGCCCTAACAAAGTGAAAAAGATGGGGGAACAGCTCGTTGGTGGAGCAGTCAGAACACACACAATATTTAATGATTAAATTTGTCATCTTATATGGGCATGGTTCATGGCAACTGAAATAATTACAATAGTAACATCAAAGATCACTGGTCACAAATCACCATAGCAAATATAATAATAATGAAAAAGTTTGAAATATTGTGAAAATTACCAAAATGTGATGAAAGGACACAAAGTGAACAATGCTGTTGAGAAAATGGTGCCAATAGACTTGTTTGACACAGGATTACCACAAGATTTCAATTTGTAAAAAGTGTAATATCTGAGGGGCCGGCCGAGTGGCTCAGTTGGTTAAGAGCTCGATCAAGAGTTTGAGCTCTGAGCAACAGCGGTTCGATGCCCGGCCCGAGCTGAGCAGCCGCTGAGCTGCCAACAGGTAGCAGGATGGCTCAGCTAAANTATATATATATATATTATATATATTTAACCTTAAGGCAGATACCCATTTGGCTTGAACAAGAGATACATTTATATGACATGTAATTGTCTTAAAATTCAGAGATTAATAACTTTTATAAAGGAATTGATTAAAAGCATGTCAAATTTTCTGATCCACTTGTTTTACTACATAGAAACTATTCCTTGATTAAGCCTAACCCTGAAAACTAAGAAACATTTGTACAGTCAATACCACTCACAAAAGAAATAGAATATTCAGCTAACATGGTTCAAAAGGATACATATCAAACAAGCTTTAAAAATATTACTGACAAAATTAATTTTTGTATGTGAATATTCACCAGGGAATACAATTATATTTAGCAAATGCAAAATTGTTATTTACCATCTTGAACTTACATTTGAACTTTCCAGTAATGACTGCAGAATTGTCAGTTCATGTAAGTTTAAGTAACTTTTAAAATAAAGATGATTTTTCTTCTACCACATACCTGATCTTTTTCAAGAACCATTTTTTCATATGATCCCCTACTGTCCTCCTTATGGTCCAGAAACTGTAGTTTTCCCTCTAGCCATGAAACTTGCTCAAGCAGTTTTAATTTTATTCCTTCGGAGGCTGAAAGCTAAAAACATTTTCTTGTAAGGGTGTGTAAGTACAGTGACTTTTTAAAAGCTTCTTTTAAAAGTTCAATTTATAAATGAATCACCTCCATCAATATCTATTCAATATAAAAATGGCTTCTGGAGTATCCCTCTTATGACAAATGATTACTATACACAGATAAGGAAATAATCTTGATTTTATTTATTTTTAATATAAGATCATCTAAGAAAGAGATGAGACCACATAGTGACAACAGAAGAGATTTCTAATGCAATGATCTCAACATTCATCTTTATGCTGCAAGATCGTGCTTTATTTGTAGAGCTCTATTAGAAATCTGTATTGTGGTGTACATATGGTTCTTGAAAATTAACTCTTGGGGGACGTCAGCTCTCTAGAAGGAGTTGGGAGTTCTGAACCCCTTGAATGTTCACCAAATACACGTAAGCAGCTGGGTAGATGGAACTGAAGGGAAATGCAGGAATTTCAAGATAAAGTCTGATCAAAGGGAGATCTATGCTAAACCGTAACAAAAAATCATGTCCAGAGGTGACTGTCTTTGTTTTATACTATTTGTAGATTCCTCCTGAGGAAAGTGGCAGCTCGATAGTCCCCAGTCCCTTCATTCCCTATGAGAGTCCCGGAACTAGCTTTTCCTTTCGTCCCGGCAGCTTATTGAGCTTTTTCTCTCTAGCTCGACCGAATTCTGAAAGAGTCCCGGGAAGGGACGCACAACGTTGTATTCATGCCCAATCCCAGTGTATCCTCTGAGGCATGGATTATCCCTAAGTAGCTCTTTCGTATTCCTCTAAGTGTTATTATGAAGCATACTGTCTCACCTTAAAAAGTACAGCAAGTTATTAATGCCGATTTACCAAATGGGGACGCATAAGGAGGCTTGGTCTACTGTGGAAGTCAGGTGGGCACATCACATGTGCTGGCATCCATCCACCCATCCATCCATCCATCTACACAGTCATCCCCCTAACAAATACTTGTTTAGTTGGCAGTCTCCATAGCCGTCGTATTATATGGTGGAGATTACGAAAATGCAATGTAAGGGCCAGAGGGAACGCGTATGTCACGAACGGTTGGTTATGTCTTTCGACTCTCGGTGACCGGGTAGGCCTGCAGTGTTTCTCATGGGCATGAACACATTTAACTCTTGGGTGCATGATGTTGGGAAATGTAGTCTAGTTTCTCTGAACACCCTTTTATTTTATTACACAGTATGGTTTAATGGCTAAACACACAGACTCTTGAGTCAAACCCTTTGGGTAAAAGTCTCAGTTTGCTAGTTACTAGCTATGTGATTTGGGCAAGTAGCTCAGTCTCTCTGGGCTAGATTTTCCTGTCTGTAAATGGGAGTGGGAACAAAAAGAACAGCACTTACCTTATGGGTATGCTTTGAGGATATATGAGTTTATACAAGAAACACCTAGAACAACATCTGTAACCTATGGAGTATTCAGTAGCTATTATTACTATTTCTTCTACCTCTCATAGACTGCATAAGCATTCATATGGGTTTTGTTCAAATGTTTATTATTTATGAAGTTGTAAAACAAAATATCTGGAGACATCACAGACTCTATGAGCTGGTTACCTTAAACTCAAATTGTATTTACTTCACTCACTTCCTGCAACCAGTCTAGTCTTCAGGGACAAGTTCGCTCAGGTCTAGTATTGTTTTCCCTCAAATATGTTCTTTCTCACTCTGGCCCATTTTGTTTCCATATTTTGCCTGATCTGTAATTCTTCCAGTCACCATTTAGTTGTCTTTCTTTTAAATGTACCTTCTATGGTTTTCAGGCCTTTATTAATTCATTCAACACATACTCATTTATTTACTCATTTGTTAAAGAAATATATGACTTCGGAGGTAAGACTTTGGAGGTAAACAATGAAAGTGATATTGTATATGTTCTCAAAAACCTCACATTACCATACATTTTAAAAACTATTACATAATATGAAAGCATATAGATGAATAATAATAATATTAATAATAATTAACATTTACTGGGTACATACCAGGCATTCTGTAGAACCTTTGTCATCATGTTTATTTATCTCAATTCAGCTTCATACCCATGTTGCAGATGAGGAAATTCAATAAGTTTAATATGGTTGTATGACTTGCTCCAGGACATGACAAGTAAGTGTTGGAACCCAAGCTTTCAGTAGTGGACATTGGATCTGACTCTCTAAGCCCAAATTTGACCCCAGCTCAAGAAGTGGGGGCTGATAATCATGACAATCCCATCCTCCTTGCTGCTGATTGGCTCAGGAATCAAGGCTTAAACCAATCAGAGCCTGGCTTTTCTTGGGCAACAGTTATTGTATGAGAAGATGTGACCTAATTTGGACCACTCACACTACAAAGGAGGAAATGTGATGATTTAAAGAAGCACGCTCTCTTATCTACCAGATATGAATGCTACTGTAGCCATCCTACAAACATCAGGAAACCACTTCTGTGAGAAAGTCACACTCTGAATGGAAGAGTGGACGATAGACAAAACCTGAGTCTTATGGACATTATTGAAATGTCTTATCAACCAATTTTGAAGCATGTCCTACCTTGAGACTCACACTTAGTGAGATAATGTTTTCTTATTGTTTAGGAGTTGAGTTTTCTATTACTTGGTACTATAAGCACCCTACTGATACACTGTCTAATCCCAAAATTTCATACCCTTGACCACAAGTGAGTCAAGTCCATGGAAAAACAGCAGTAACTGACATTTATTTAGTAGCTATCTACTGAGTGCTATCTATGTATTTTTAAGTTACCTTATTCTATTGCTCAAAACCCTATAAGGAGTTTTGTTCATATTTTTTATTATTATCATTATTTTAAAGATTAAGGAGCTAGGTGCTTTTAGGGGTGAATTAGCTTGCCCACAGAAAAGAAGAGGTTGGATTTGGATCTATATTGGTGTACCTCCAATTCTGGGTTCTATGTTATATCCAAAACCGAACTCTGAAGCTGCCTGCAAAGATGAGGCCTGTGATTGTTTCCCCCCAGCTACGTGACCTCCAGCATTATTTCTCAGCGTGCTTACTTATTTACCTGAAGAAAATTTATTTTGTTTGTAAAAACTGAGAACTCTATCTTGCCATACTGCTTTTTTTTTTTTTTTTTTTGGACATCA